CTTCCCACATTTAGATATCAGAGGCAACCCAAATAAAGATTTAAAGCAAAGCCATATATTGCCTTGGCCCTTCAAAGGCAAGTCAGAGGTGGGAGGAAGGGCGGGGAATATAGTTTTGCAGGGTGCGTTTTGTCGGCGCTGTGTGCTTTTTCGAGGAATTTCACATCGCTTCCTTCCTTGGACCCGCGCTGTAGCCCCTGAGCGGGGAGGGGGCTCAACATTTTGCAGGGTCAACGGGACCAAGAGGTTGGGTTCGCTTCCCAAGGTCACGGGGCTGGTGAGTGGCAGATCGGGGACGCATTCGTCAAAGAAATATCGGTTGAGCTCTTACTGTGTCCGGGGCACTGTGCTGAATATGGGGGATAAGCCGGGGTGGGGGGGCAAGGTGGCCGGGGTCCCTGCTCTCCCGAAACCTGTACTCTCATTGGGGAGACAGATAGTAATCAAGTGGATGAATTTATGATTTTCAGGTGGTGGTTAAGTGAGGGGCAGACTGGGGTCTTTTGGTTCCCAGTTGACGATCTGCCTACAGTACCATTCCAGTCCTTTCCATGTTGGGCTAAGAGCTAACATTACGGGTACACGCACCATTCTTCACCCATCCATCTGTCCATCCATCCGTCCAACCACCCACCCATCTATACCCATCCATCCACCCACCCATCCATCCAGGTCAAGGTTACCACCCTTTCGTATTTTCTGAACACAGTGAGTTTCGTGAAAGCCGAAAGGCTAAGCCCTCTGAAAGAGCACGGTTTTGTGACCTGGAGGGACTGAACTATAGTTCCGCTTCTGACTTGCTAAAGGTCACTCAGCCGAGTGGCTGGTGACCATGGTCTTTCATCTGAGTGAACCCAGTCAGCGAGGGAAGTGACCTGTTTGGGAATAGTGACAAATGTCCTTAACGGGAATAGCGATTTCAAAGCGGGCTTGTGGGTATTCCGGCTCGAATCCACCCAGACACCCTCCAGCATGGGACAGCCTTCCCAGGGCCATCTGTCCCGTCTTCCAGAGGGAAAAGCGAGTAGACCCATCGTCCCTGGACAGCTAAGATTTGAACACATGATGGGCAAGGAAGATAGAAACTAAAGCACACTTCTTACGTGCATTCCTACAACAAAGTTAAGTATTAGCCTCCTATATAGTCAAAAACGGAAATTGGAATGGTAAAGTGGTTTGCCCAAGGTCACATAGCCGAGGGAGAGTCAGAGACATGACCGCGTCCTAAAATCTGTG